TCTTGTTACGACTCGGAACAACTATTGTAAGTATTGTAATGCAAGACAACAAAACAAGCTTCGTATTGTTTTTTAATCTTCTGTAACACTTTCAAATGCACGTTCATCGTTTCAATGGATTGATAGGAGACTAGTCAGACATCATAAATAGATAGATAGATTTATTTGTTTCAAAAACATATACAGTTTAAGAAAAAAACGTCAAAATTAGGCTAAAGTACATAAGTAAATATTGTAGGTATAAAACAAACATAATAATATACAAGATTTCACAGGTACATACATGAACATAAAAAGTATATACACGTTTACTCGAACATTATTCATCAGTTAGCGATGATTGGAAATCACAGAAGAATTCATCCAAGGTGAAATAAGATTTCTTCAGAAGCAATTCTTTCATTTTATTCTTGAATTGGAATTTATTTTTCGACTCTTGTATAGATTTTGGCAGGCAATTGTATAATTTACATCCATTGTAGTTCCTTACGTTTATGATTATATACAAAACAGGTCACTTCATAAATATAAAGGGAAATCATTCTGAAGATACCCAGGTTTTTAGAATATACCCTGAAAGAATCTCTTGCTCTCAGATTTTCAGTGCTACTGAGATTTTCCCAACAAAAATGATCAGAATTGAAGCAAAATCCGAGTATTCGCTGTCCATGGATCATCATATGCCTGTATACAGCATATCTCATTTTAAACGCACCTTTATCATAATCACAATCGTGCAAACGCTGCAGAACAATACTGTGGTTGGTTTTTTTGTAAAAAAAATGCCTGAAAGCTGATTTTGAAAAATGTCTCTGGAAAAAAACATACTTGATGATGTTTTTTTCTCGGATTAGGTTTGAGAGGATTTCAAAGAATATTTTTGTTTTCAATCTGGCGTTTCAACAATGTTATATTATTGTGAAGAGCTATAAAAATAATGATATTTTTATTGAAGTTCCGTGAGGTTGAAAACGAAAGTGTTTTGGAAGGTCATCATACAGTTACGCACATCAAACAAATATTTTGTAACCGTAAGTAGAACAATATCACATAGTCGAAAGTAATTAAAATATTCACAAAATTAGACTAGTTCCAATGAACAAGTAGAGAGCTTCCATAAAACTCTTGAAAATTTTTCGAAAATAGTTCTCACGCGTCCTCACGCTGGGCTATGGTCCTATCACTCCTGTCCTGAAAATCACTATTACCCTTGATTATATACACTAGTATACTCCAAGCTATTACTGAGTCTAAATATGAATACGTGACAAAATCAGAATTTGCCATATTACTGACGGCACCAGAACGAACAATTGTTCGTTTATTTATATGAAAGATATGCCGCTAACTATACTAACAATTGAATTGAGTGACGCATTTTGACAACTAATATAGCTTTTGCGAGAGCTTTTGTTAAATAATTCCTAATATAAAAATCTATTCTGATGTATGCTCTAACGCATACACCTCACATTATTCTATTATGGTTTATTGTTATTGGTCGTTCTCAGAACACGAGATGGGACAGTATAGTACGCATAACTCGCGTACCATGCTGTACAGGGTGATATACAGTCATCACTTGCTTATCCATGTGATACCTACATTTTCTCTTGTTCTGGATTATATTTGAAAGACAACTTGATTTTCCAATTTTGAATGGAGAAAAATGATATTATTGGTTCGATAGATTTGACAATTTCAGATTTTAGATTTTCGCAGGAAAAAATAGATATCTGTCTCTCATTGAAAATGTATTTATTGTACTGGCTTCTATGTTCGATGGTGTTGTTATTCAATATAGAAAATATTGTAAAATCGTGTTACCTATTCCATTCATTATCGGAAGTTCCGAGAGATAAAAAAAAACAAGAGTACCTATTATATTATACAGATATGTTCCTCAAACGACATAATTCAATTTCACGATTAAATTGCTAATTGCTCTTCTGCTCAAACCGTAAATATCTTCAAATAATGTGTTAACGCAACAAATTATTCATTATTATTTTTCAAAAAATATTTTATTTCATTCCACTCTATTGATTCAATTCATCAGCGAAAATTGGTTGAATCGAAAGAAAACATTTTGCTCCTATACAATATCTGCCCTACAATGAATGCATTTTTGTTGACTGAAATTATTGGTATATGGTCAAAAATATTTATCCAAAAGTGTGCATAATCTTGAGAAAATTGTTCAGCTGTCTTTTGAATAAAAAAAAATATAAAACCGGTCTTTAGGTTCATCGAGGAGGTGAAACATTCATTCTTCCAGATTTGTTTTGGGACTTTTCCCCAGATGATTTGCTTCAAGATGTCCTTACCACACGTATTTTGGAATAATACTCTCTTTTTTATATAGGAACGAAAAGAGAAAACCCTGAAAAATCTGAAAAAAAGGCATCTTTATCATTCTTCAAAAGTAATCAAATATTTGATGTCACTTCTGTCAGTCTAATTCTATGATTTGATTTCAAAAAATTGTGAATTGTAAAAGGTTCTTTCTCGGAGACGGTATTATTGACTCATTTTTCGGAACTATAGCACAACAAAAGCCATCAACAGTGTATATATATATATATATATATCCGGGAAAAAAGTTCTCACTATTTTCCCACGGGAAAAAAGTAATTTATGAAAAGTGACATTTTATAATCGGCCAACAGAGATGAAATGCCAAACTCTTTTCCCGTCACAGGAAAAATACATTTTTTATGTTGAAATCGGGAGCAGATTCGTTCCCGAAACGTCCAAAGATAAGTGAAATACTTTTATTTCTCTTCTCCGCAACTTTTTCAATACAAATTGTCACTGACAAGCTCGTGAATTTTCTTTTAGGCTCTCTGATAGGAGAATTCCTTAAACGCAGTGACATTTTGGGGCAAATCATCTGATTCGTCTTAACTACACGTATATTGAAATAGTATTCATATTTTCATTTTATTGAGACGAGGAGAGAAAATCTCAAAAAAAATCTGGAATAATGAATCATGGAACTTGTTGATGGTTTATTCACTAAGTGATTCACTTGCCCATAAACTAATGCTGAAGCTAGGAAAGGAGCACGTCTTCACCAAGTCGCGACATATCGTCGACATGACATGTAAAAATATTATGGCAAAGGCGCCACGTACTGAGTGTACTAATTCATTTGAATGGGCGACAAGGTGAACTAATGATCAGTTGGAACTAGTTCGAAGCAAAACCACAAGATATAATTTTAACAAACTCTTAATGTGTTACACATGTAGATTCGGCCGTGATGAATCGATTCGTATTTTTCGACCTGTTTGGTTGTCACATCAAAGAGATTTTCAGAGGAAGATGTTGTGCTGTGCGTGAATGTTGGTCCTTCGATATCTACACTCAGTTCCAAAAAAAGTGACGCACTTGATATTTGACCTATCTTCTTGGAAAAAAAATAGTAGCCGATTTTTTTTTATTTGTTGGTAGGTAATGCATCTGTCTTTAAAAACAAAATGAAGAGATGAAAATTGTTTCAAAGCCTCCTTGATGGTGGTGGAATAACTCGAACCATGATTTATCCTTAATTTTTGACTCACCCTCTGTGTTAATTGAGTAATGGCATAGAAAGTGCTCACACCCTATACGAGAGAGGCTTCTTTTGCGAGCATTTTGTTTTTTTATTCATCGATTTTTCTATGAAATTTTCCGAATTACAGCTTTTTTTGCTGAATCCTTGCAGATTACCAACTTTATGAATTTTCGAGAAACAATTTTCTAATGAAATAAACTGATACCAATAATTCTAAAAACACAACATTATAAATTGGGATGACTGCTTAATACCGTGTATTGCCTCCTTTAGCAACTCTAAGAACTTCTAATCTACGAGGCATACTGGAAATTAAGTTGCTTATCGTTTCCATTGGTATACTATCCCATTCTTCCACTAATGTATCTGCCATTCCCTAGGCCATTCCTGCGAGCCTTTCCGGAGACCTCTCTGCTATGGCAACGGCATTTGTTTTTTTGAAGACAATGTGATCCTACCAGAGTACAACTCAATCAATTTTGAGTACTTTGATCCTTCAATAAATTTAATTTGTGGGATAAGCATAAGGAATCAGCAAAAAAGCTGTTATTCGGAAAATTTTAGAGATAAATCAATGAATAAAAAAACAAAATGCTCGCAAAAGAAGCCTCTTCCGTATAGGGTGTAAGCACTTTGTATACCATTACTCAATTAACACACAGGGTGAGTCAAAAATTAAGAATAAATCATGGTTCGAGTTGTTCCACCACCATCAAGGAGGCTTTGAAAAAATTTTCACCTCTACATTTTTTTCAAAGACAAATGCATTACCTACCAACGAATAGAAAAAAATGAAACCGGCCTACTATTTTTTTTAAGAAGATAGGCCAAATTTCAAGTGCGTCAGTTTTTTTGGAACTGGATGTATATTACATTGTCTCCGAGTTATTTCAACCAAATATTTGCGGAAATTACGGAATGTGGGGCCTCTGATGTCGAAATTTAGAACCTTTTCAAAGGTGATCAACAAACCACTTTGGCATTGTCAGCATAGTATTTATAATTGTTTCAACATATTTTGATACTTTTTCGACAGTTTTTGGATTCATTTCAATAATAATAATAAAAATGATAAATTTATTATCCACAAAATATATAAATAGTACAGGGTACGAAATACAGCAGAATTCAAGTGGATAAATGGCTATAAAAGGTTCAGTTGTGGACTAATCCACCCCTGTTCTTCTACCACTGCCAGTGAAATTGAAGAAGGAAATTTGAGGAGCAAATGATAGATTGAATGTAATGAAACGATATTTTGAAAGAAAATGATAGGAACCAACAGGTGACTGTCTTTTCAACATCTTTTAGTCCTGCTAAGATTTGAAAATCCCATATGGCAGTATTTACATGCATGTTCGTAGAGCACTTCATAGGAGTGGCCATATTCTGAGCTGTTACTATACCGAATAGATTTATATTATCAATAGCTATAGCTTACCTATTAGTCTGATACGTGATGCTTATAATTGTGGCCATTCGTTACCAGGATAAAACTGAAAAAGAAAATTAGAGATTGAATACTGAATTATATACTCGTCAAATAATATTTCAATTCGAAATATTGTGCATTGGGGTACTTGTTGCATGGGCTAATGATCTATTTTTCAAATTGAAATATTGTATATTGGGTTACTTGTTGGGCTAATGAGCTATTTTTACTGAAACCCGAAATGACGTTTTTTTTTATGACAAAACCTCGGAAAAAATCATGTATATAAAAACTCGCTTTTCACGCTAGCTTCACCATCTCACCTTTCCATGAATAGGTAAGCTAACCATTTGTATGCCCCCAACCGTTGTGACTTTATTGCATGCATCGGGGGAATGTGTCCCTATATTGATTGATTGATTGTAGAAATTGATTCGGGATAGGTTAAAGTTCTATAATTTTGATCATTATTTCTTGAATAGCTTCATTATGGAGTTTTTTATTGATGTTGTATGGGTTGTTGACTGCAATCTGTTTTATATGATATTGAGTTCTTTATTGAAATTTACTTCTGAAAGAGGGACATTCACTAGCCTGTGTACCAATCATACTATTATATGGTGCAATTTTATGTTGATGAGGGTGTGTTGAATTATCATGAATAGTGATATCAGTGTGGGAAGGTTTATGGAAAATTGAAAAATCATGTTTATCCTTATTGTTACTAAGTAAATAAATGTGAAGTAGATTTCATCACTTTCAGCCTCGGGAGGTAATAATTCGTAAAGTTGAAACAGCCAAGATAATCAAAGAATGAATTACTTATATATGTCTACAAATCATCAGACGTTATTGTCTAATAATTGATTAATTAATTGACAGTTCTCTTCTGTATACTTAGTATAGAACAAACTTTCTAGTTTAATGTTCACATTTCGCCACCTTTGTTGTGATTATATTGGTAGCAGTTCGAAGATATAACCTTGAAATAACTCTCGATAATCATACAGTATCCCGAATTGATTTCCTTTTTGATCTACAATTCAACAACCAACTACGATTTACTCTTCAACGCGCCGAACATTAACAATGAAGTAACAATTATCGAGAGTAAAAGTTTGTCTTATTCTTTTATTTGTGGCTCGTTAATGAAATCGACGATATCGAAAGTGCGGTTGGCGTCTGTAATTTGAAGTAATAATAAATGGTAGTTCAAAAAAATAAAGAAACACGCTTTTATAGATTGCCAAACCAAAATATCAGCGGACCTTCGTAATCAATATATGCTATGCGTTGGGTGTGATTAACACACTTTTATTATTTCATTTTAATTTCTTTTCAATTCAGCTACCTATAAAAGCATGTTTCTTTTGTTCCTCAAACTACTGATAATTCTCCATTCTTTTTTCAGTTCGGCTAACTAGAAAAGCGTGCTTTTCAGTTTTTTCTTATATTTATTGTGAGTATCTGCCCAATGGGCTCATATCACAAAAAAAAATTATTTCATAATTCGATAGAACTCACCCAAACTAGCTCACCACCGCAAACCGTTTCTTGCTGTGAGCTCTCTACGTTTTATAAATAATTATTGAAATCCCCGATTTTTTGGACCTTTGAAAACGAGGCGATGATGTGACGTCAAAACCCTAATACTGAAACAAGAGTATTCCAGACAGAGATGAATGATACATGATTTCTGACAGAGTGAATTAGCGCGAGATCACAGTTGAAAGAATTAATATATCAATTTCCTCAGTCTCCGTCGGGCGTTTGGTATTTTCTTTTAACTATGGCGAGATAAGGTTTCTACGTCATAAGAGAGTCCGTTTTCAGAAGGTACTATTATTTATGTCGAAAAATAAAACATTCCAGTCAGTTTTTCGATCGAATTATGTCGTCTATCATCATTTATGTATAAAATGATCATTATAAACATGGTTTGACTTAAAAGTTCTACTAAGGTGTACACGCCCATTGTCACGGCAGAATCATAACCTCCAATCCCGAAAACCCCCCTAGATACCCATTCTGAATACAATCGCAGGATTAAAATTACAAAACTCTTCCGCCACATTGGATCCTCCATCTTGAATTTCTAAATGGCGACGACAGAATTATATTCTCCGACCACGAGAAACCCCAGATACCAATTTTGAATATAATCGGATCATAATAACAAAACTCATCCGCCATATTGGATTCCCTATCTTGAATTTCCCGATTTTGACGAAAGATTGATAATCTGCGACCCTGAAATCACCAGATACCAATTTTGAATATAGTATGGAGTCATAATTACCACTCCATTTTAGAGCCGCCATTTAGTTTTTTGACTAGCAAAAATTTCATGATGCATTGTCACCAGAATTGAGTACACCTGCCAAATGTCAACTTCTTGAAGTGAGTAAAAAAAGCAAATTTGTTTATTTCAGGAAACCATCAGGTGTGAAAACCCACAAAATCTTCAGAGACGATTTTTATTTTCAGTTTGTATGAGGAAATCTTTCGAACTCAATCTACAGGAAATTAAGTTCATATAAATATGTGCCCTAACATGCTCCATTTTCGAAATACAGGGTACGTATTAATATTTCCATGGAAAATCTTTTTTCTATTTATTTCTCAATTGTCTTTTCATCAATTTCAATAAAACCTTGTGGTTTTGTTAATAGTAATATGGAGCTTCTTCTAGTGGAATTAGATTCGAAATAATATTTCCAGTGGTGTCACAGTAGGTAAATTTATCGATATTCATGGTGATTGACATTGTACGCCATCGGTTTTTCTGAGTTTCATATTTTTATTAGATTGAACTATTGAAATATTAGCTTTTCCATCTGATGTGTGATTTTTGTATCTAGCTTAGTTTTTGAGGAAACAAAAAAAATTCGATGTGACTCCAAATGTTAATGTAAGTGTTTTCAAGACTACCATTGAAATCATTTTGAAATTTTGGGGTTTTCTCAGTCTCCATCCATACTGAATTTTGGCACCATGAATGCTTATACAGGGAGGTTATGGATAAAAACAATTAATACTTCCAATTTCAACATCCTGTATCTCAAAAACGGAGCAAGTTAGGACACATGTGTATATGAACTTTATTTGCTAGAATGTCACAAGGAAACATCCCTTGAATTTTTTCTGTGTTATTTAGATACAGTGTGTCTCACTTTACACGGCCCTCCCTCTATATCTCAGTCATTAGTCATGCGATTCCAATCAAATTTTGTGTGGTTTGAATAACCATCAATATGATCAGTTTTACAGAGATGCACATTATTTTGGACAGTGCCGTGCGTTTTTATTGTACTAAAAACGGGTCGATTTTTCATAAAATCATATTAGGCATTCTTTTACAGGAAATCCAACCTCATATTATTGTTCCTCATGCTTATGAACCTCCATATGCAAAAAATCACCTAATTCCGAATTAACAGGATTGGCTCAATTTTTTTCATTTTCAGTCTCGAATAAATAGTGACTTCAAATCAATTACGAATTTTGGAACGTTCAATGGCTCCGGTAGGTGGAAAATCATGATTTGGAAGGAAAAACGAGTTATACTTTTTTATGTTGAACTCACCGTTTCCGAGTAAATAATTATTACGTTCGAAAAAATGCTGTTTAGATGTGCCTGTTTTTCTGAAACCCTTCATAGGCATCTTATGAAAATCCACCTATGTGGGTTTTAAACCATGAAAAACAATATTATGAGGTCAGTTTTCCTGTGAAAAAATGCCTAATATAATTTAATAAAAAACTGACCCCTATTCATTTCAATAAAAATGCACGGCACTGTCTAAAATGATGTTTGACTTTGGAGAACTGGTCATATTGATGATTATTCATACCGATACAAATTTGGTAAATATCGCACGACTGATAGCTGATTTATAGAGGGGGAGCCGTTATAAATGCGGAAATCATGAAATGCATCTGTATGAGTAGAGTTTTCTTATCTATACGAACTTTGCTGAAGGCAGTGCTATAACCGAATATGCATAAAGTTCAACTTTAGCGTTCGGTTGTTTCTCACCCCACTTTCGTATAGATTGACTTCCTTATTAGATTCATCTCGGAACGATAATTCTTCATAACAGCATTCTTCAAATAATATCGATGTAATAGTCACTCTGGAACGTGCAATTTTCTCTAACCATGCACCGAGACACGCCACTTATACATTCAAATGCTGATATTTATCTTGAATTGCTAATAAACACTATTTACATTTTGATATATTATGCATTTAGAAATTTTGCATAATGTTGGCAATGGCAATAAACCATCGAACAATCTCATGGTTATTGACTTTGGATAATGGGCGAGTACCTTTCAATTTCATATTTTTTAAGAATTTCTTGGTCGATTTTCAGGTGCTAAAATCATCAATAGTGCCACGGTCATTTTCAAACGGATAGAAATTCACCTGAAATATTTCAAATTTCGAAATAATTCATAAATTCACAATTAAGTATTGGTAACGTATGGTCCGAAAGTTTTGGGAAAAAATTCACCTGGTTTGATTGAGTGACAAAATGCATTTAATCAAGCAGGCGTGGTAATTAAATGTCACCCGTCTTGTCATCTAAATAAGCAATGCAAAAGTTGTTGGTTTGCGCTTACCAAAATGTCTTATAAAATTGATCTTCGTCGAGGTATTTATAATCTCGTTGGGCGAATGACGAAACGAGAGATTGTCGATATTTTTCAAGATCAGAACATAAGTAAATCGACAATAATTCGTACAATTAACGATTGTTGAGAAGGAATATTATGTATGAACTTGCCAAAAAACGGTCGGCCGCAGGTTTTGAACCAATCAAGAGGGCAGAGACTTATTCAAGCAGTTAAACACAGAATTGGGATCTCACAGCGAAAACTGGCCAGAAGATTTCATGTTGGAAAGACTACGGTGTTTAAGACCTTATCAAGACACGATGTTCTGTTCCGGAAAAGGAGAAAAGCTCCAAAATACACAGAGGCTCAGTTAGAAAGAATTCCAAGATGTTGCCGCGCGTTGAGGCGAGTGCATTTTGCTAACAAATTGATCGTGATGGA